CAGGAAGTTAGAATTTGGTGTCCGTAAAATGCTGGGGTTGGAGGTGGGGGTGCTGGTGGGGGAGGCATTGTGTTGTCCCTTTAAAGGGTGATGTGCTTTATCAATGCTTAGAGATTTAAAATGGATGTCTGTGAGCAGCAGCTTGAAAGTTTGCTAGTACACAGAGGGCACCCAAATTGAAGCATTTGTGTTGAAAGGCCATACAGTTAGCAGGCCAAGCAACAGTTTTATTTTGTTACTAAGACAACATGTTTTTGAATTTAGCCAATCAATTTGATCCAGGCACTTAGATACCAAAGACAAATTGATTTTAAATCTGATGGTTTTGACAACATAGGACCAGTCCTAGTGTAAGAAATTGATAGGTCATCAAGGTTATAAAAGAAGGAGGCAGTTGAACAAAGTCCAACAGCGTTCCTGACAGAGCATTTGATGGAAAAGGCACAGAACATTCCGGAAGACATGTAATCTGGCTGTAATTTCGAGACTAAATTTACTTTTTTTATTTTATATAAGTGGGACTTGTATTTATTGGAACAGCATATTAGAATCTTATTTTATTCAGGAGTAGTTAGTAGCTTGTCGGGGTTTATTCAGTTTGTTAATAGTTTAGTTAGTTTGTTCACTGTTATAGTTAGATAAATAAATTGTTACTTGTTGATTGTGAAGTAAGTGTCAGAGATTTGTTTTATTTAACTACTAGAAGTTGCTGAAAGGCAGGTTATATCACTTTTCAAATTCCTTTCACAGACTATAGGGCAAGGTGCTCCTCTTTGTGTCTTTCAGTTTTTGTTTGCCATGGGGGTGTCAATCCCTGCTTTATAACATTATTAATGAGAGAGTTAATCGCATTCTAGCTATAAGTTTAACTTAGACTAGTCAGGCATAATTACTAAGACTCTCAAGAGCTGTATAAAACACATTCACTCCCCCCCGCAAAGGCCTGTGTGGAACTCACCACCATCAGACTGCGAGGAGTCAGTGGAAATTTGGGATTAACTTTTTCAGAATCAATACCTTCTGATGACATTTCAAGTCATCAAGCATCTACTCTGTCCACCCCTGAGAGAATCCTAAATGTTTAACAACTGTGACTGAATTTTCAAATGTACTTAGTGGGATGTGATTGCTTGACATTGTCCTGAGATTACAAAATTCTCCAGTTGAATACATATTTTGTTTTATCTTTGTTTTCAATTGGAGGAAAAGCACACAAAAGTTTTTATAAAGGACGTGTGGTCTCACTCATTACATGTTCTTCCCTCAGTGTCTCTGAAAAATGAAAAATCAATTCCCGTCTGTATTGCAGTAGGTTCGACATTATGCAGAAACCCCAAGGATAGACTGAACGTACAAACGAACAAATACTCTCAGCATCTGCATTCTTCCTTCCTCCCCACTCTCACTGTAATGACACAATGCACAACTTGTACATTGCAGCGATACTTCTGTGGTCTTCCACAGATGCCTGGCTGCTAAGAAGATATAATTACACCATTACAAAAATACCTCAATACAAGGAAAGTTGATCTATGATTTTAAATATAGTCCACAGACAAAACGTCCCATCCTGCAAAACGTTGCAAACAGTTTGAGATTGATGTACGTAAGTGTTCATCCTTGTCTGCATTTCTATTTGTATATGTCCGTAGTTTACAAATGCATGTGTATTTGAGTCTATAAGAAAGTTAAAATGCAGAAGCTCAATACTTGTAATGGATCTATATATCTTCACGGCTTTGACTTATGAAGGACAGGAAAAAATTGCGGCTTAAAAGAACTGCTCTTTTGAGGTATTGTCAGTGTTGGAGGTGATTAACTCGAATGTTTGGAGCAGTAATTGCTGTTCTATAAGCTGTTTCATTGTTTTGGAACTTTGAGAAAAAGATCAAAACAACAGCACTTAAAAAGGGAGGAAGAGAGACAAAGCAGATACCACGGAGAAAGTAAACCTGACAACTGCAACATTTAAAAGGCATCTGGATGGGTATATGAATAGGAAGGGTTTAGAGGGATAATGCCAAATGCAGGCAAATGGGACTAGATTAATTTAGAATATCTGATTGGCATGGACGAGTTGGACCGAGGGGTCTGTTTCCGTGCTGTACAGCTCATGTTCTGAGGAAAGGTGACTCAACTCAAAACATTAACTTTGATTTCTATCCACAGATGCTGCTGGACCTGCTGAGCTTTTCCAGAAATTTCTATTTCTACACCTATAAATACACCTGAATATGTCACTCTTCATACTGTCACTTCATAAATGTAACACTGAGAACGTTACACGTGAAAATATCACTCAGTCAAAGGCTGTGACTTGCAACTTGTACATTCAAAAATTTCATTCATTAAGCTGCAAAAAATCAGAGCTGAGCTGATTAAAAAGGACACTGTTAAACAAGTACAATTTCTGCTCAAATTTTTTTAAAAAATGAAGATTATGGTTAATTTCCAATTGACCTGAAAGTGCACCATTTCAAGCTGATGGTTTTATGCCTTTAAATATTTAGGCATTAACAGCAATTTCTACTGTACATTACCTTAGAATTAAAGGTAACAAAGCAGAAGGTTGTTGTGAACTAATAAGCAAATTGTATTACTTAAATTGTATTAAAATGCATTAAGGGCTATTGTGGGAAAGTGTGGTGTCATTACTTCTGAGGCCCAGGTTCTAGACCCACCTGCTCCAGAGGTGAGTAATAGAATCTCCGAACACGTTGATTGGAAAACAGCCACCAAAATGCACTGAAGGTATTTGTGGTGCAGGGGTATTGTTCCATCCTCTGGGCCAGAAGGATTAGGTTCAAGTGCTCCTTACTCCAGAATTGTGTGATAACAGATTGATTAGAAAATATCTTATCAAATTATATTGACGACAAAGTTCATTTTTCGCCTGCTTATGATATTTTAATTTGATCCCCAGCTTTCCTTCTCAGTTGCAGCATCTGTATGCTCTGCTTGAGTTCTTTTTTTAAAATTTGGTTCAACGTTTTCCAAAACAGTGTTTAAATATAAATAGAGTCAGCCAGAAGGTCTGGTGGTGGTGGCGGAGAGGTGAGCAGGGTCAGGTTGAGGGCTGCACAATGTCATATGACTGCTTGAAATAAAGCTAGGAATCGTATGCCTGGAGTTTTTCTGAAAGAATTTAGCTTCTAGCGTACAACATTGGAGAATTGTCAGGATTCCGAGGAGCATGTGAACGTGACACCAGCAATGTGTTCATGATTAGGGACGTATTGCGCAGGGAGTTGGGGCACGTGTAAAGCTCCTATAACATTGTCAGAACCACTAAGCATAGGCCTTTATGTCTGTGTATCAACTGATGTTTTTAATTCATTTACAGGATGTACCAGGTCAGAATTTATTGCCAATCTCTGATTGCCCAAAGGCCAGTGTAAGAGTCAACCAATGGAGTTACATATAGGCCAGACCAGGTAAGGATGGCAGTTTCCCTCCATAAAGGGCATTAGTGAGCCAGATGAGAATTTCAATGTTTTTTTTACAATCAGCAACAACTTCACGGTCATCACTAGATACTTAATTGAATTGATATTCTACCATGCACCATGGGAGGATTTAAACCCAAGTCCCCAGAACGTGGGTCTTGGGATTAATAATAAAAATAGAAATTGCTGGAAAATCTCAGCAGGTCTGGCAGCATCTGTGGAGAGAGAAAGCAGAGCTAATGGTTCATGTCCAGTGACTGAACCCGAAACGTTAACTCTGATTTCTCTCCACAGATGCTGCCAGGCCTGCTGAGCTTTTCTTGCAATCTCTGTTTTTGTTTCTGATTTACAGTAAATTCTTTTGGTTTTTATTCTCAGGATTGCTAGTCTAGTGAAAATACTACTAGGTCATTGCTTCCCCATTCAGACAAGTCCCATCTCCCTCCTACTCCATAAAACCACAAATAGGCCATTCGTCCCCTTGAGTCTGTTCTGTCATTCAATAAGATCATGACTGTTGCGACCAGTCCACATTCCTGCCCACCCATGTTACCCTTTCATCCCCTTTCTTATCAAGGATCTATCTACCTCTGCCTTGGAAATATTCAAGAACTCTGCTTCTATCACCTTTTGAGGAAGAGAGAATTCCAAAAGCTCAACATCCTTTCTCAGAAAAAAATGGTCACCCATCTTTGTCTTAAGTGGGTGACACCTTATTGTAGAACACTGGCCCCTAGTTCTAGAAGATCTTGATCTCATCAGGAGCTCAACATCTTCCCAAATATCCGATGCTCGGAATTGGATACAGCGCTCCTGCTGGAAGCTAACTACTGTTTTATAAAGGTTTAGCAATAACTTGCCCGCTTTATAGATTATTTACCTGAAAGCAAACACACCACTCTTGTTTGAAGTGGAACTAAATCAGAGCAGAAGCAGGAAATCACCTGCAGCTACAAAACTTCCATTTATGTGGAACACAACACAGCAAACACAGATGCGTATCGAATGCAGTTTGATATTGACACTTAATACGAGGCATCAGGTCAGAAAATGAGAGTTGAGTCAAAGAGATGGGTTTTAGGGAGCATTGTAAAGGAGGTGACCGAGGCAGAGGGATTCAGGGAGGAAATTCCTGAGGTTAGGGTGCAGGCAGTTGAAGGCACAGCCACTAGTGATGCAACAATGGAAATCAGGGATGCCTGGAATTCAGAATTGGAGGACCACAGAGATCCTTGTGGGTTCAGGGGGCTTGAGGAGTTTACAGAGATAGAGAGTGGTGAAGTCATGGAAAGATTTGAAAGTTAGAATTTCAACTTGGGACTGGAAGCCTATATGTTGATTGCTGAGTAAGGGGTTGATGAACGACCAGGATTTGGAGCAAGTCAAGGCATGAGCAGATGAAATATGGACAAGGCTAAGTATACAGAAGATGGAAGGTGGGAGGCTGACCAGGAAAACATTAGAATATTCAAATTACAAGCTACCAGCAGCTTCCTAGAAACAGGCTAAAAGGAAGAAATTCGACTGAATTAATCAGCTGCAGGGGTCACTTACCCTGGTGTGTTGACCCAAACAATGCCTACATGGCAGAAGTAAACACATTCTGTATCTTGCATGTTGCTGCAGGAACAGCGTTTCTCTCTGTGTAGAGATGGGTGGACCTCCCCTAGTCCCTGATCACGCTCCGTCTCTGATCCAGCCAAGTCTGCAGCAAGCGGCTCTGAATTACCTGCGGCGACAAAAATAAAGTATCAGGGTAGCACTTAGAATAGACTGGGTTCTTTCATTCTAATCTCGTGCACATTGATTCACAGCATACAGGTACTGATGACTTTGGGCCAACATCTTTTGCCTAACCCAATCTGAGCAAGCAGCTTCCTAGGTGATTGCAAGGGTACTTAAGAGTCAGCCATTTTGCTGTGGGTCTGGAGTCACATGTAAGCCAGATCAAGTAAGGATGGCAGTTTCCTTCCCTGAAGCACATTAGTGAACCAGATAGGTGTTTATTGGCAATGGTTTTACGGTAGATTTCATTAGTAGATTCTCAATTCCAGATTTTTTTTTGTTGAATTCAAATTCCACCATCTGGTAGGATTTCCTTCCTTAAAAAGGACAATAGTAAACTGGATGGGTTTTTACAACAACTGACAATCATCAATAGTGGTTGTCATTATACCAGATTTTTACTGAATTCAAATTTCACTAATCTGCCTTGATGGCTTTCGAACCTATATCTCCAGAATGTGAGCCTGGGTCTCTGGATATATAACCCGGTGACATAACCACTACTCCATCCCCTCCCTATATCTGGACTCTGAGACTTCACCTGATGAAGTAGCAGCGCTCCAAAAGCTTGTAATTACAAATAAATCTGTTAGTCTATAACCTGATGTCGTGTGACCTCCGACTATATCTGGGCCAGTGTTTCTAATTTTGGAATCAACACCAGAGCTAGGTAAAGAGGGACTGCAACTAATTACAGAAGAGTGTTAATAAACATGCAGAATGGGTAAGTAATTGGAAAATGAAGTCCAAATATGAGGTGATGCATCTTGGAAGAATAGGAAGGTTATTTATTGGGCGGAAGTCTTGATCAGTTAGAGGAACAAAGGAATCTCGGAGTACAAATACTTGACAAACAAGATAATTTAACAAAATAAATCAAATGCCAGGGCTATTTCTAGAGGGATAGAAGTGAAACATGGGGGAATATGGTGTTAAACTAGTATTGCATGTTTGTTAAATTACGCTTAGGTATTGAATGCAGATCTGGTTGCCATATTATTAAAAGACTATGAAGGCACTGGAGAGGGACCAGAGGCAACTTAACAAGAATGATCCCAGAGATGTGTGGGTGAACATCTCAGGAAAGGATTGATAAACTGGTCTTGCTTCTCTTTTGGAAAAACAGAAGTTGAGGAGCTTCCTAAAACAGAAACCTTTACAATGATGAAATATTTTGATACATTGGATACAGAGAGGATGTTTCCTCCTGTGAGGAAAAGCATAATCACAGACCTTCAATATAAAATAGTCACCAAGAGATCCAAAGGGGTTCTGGAAGAAACATCCTTAACCAAAGAAGGATAAAAATATGGAAATCACTACCAGAAGGAGAGATTAAATTTCATAGAACAGTTGTATTTAAGGGGAAGAGAGACAAACAAATGAGGGAGGAGGGAATAGAGGTTAAGATGATGGATTTAGATGAAGAAAGACAGGAGGACACTGAAGGGGAGTTGCATGGGTTGGTTGGGCCAAATAGCCACTATGTTTTTTAATTATTGATTCACAGGATGTTGGTGTCAATGACTAGGCCAGCATTTATTGCCCATCCCTATTTACCTAGAGTTAAGAGTCAACCCCACTGTTGTGAGTCTGGAGTCACACGTAGGCCAGACCATAAGGATGGCAGATTTCCCTCCCTGAAGGACATTAGTGAAGCAGGTGTGTTTTTTTTAACGATTAATGGTTACACGATCAACAATGGATCAGAAGTGACTTTAATATGGCACCAATGTTACCTGCAATGAGCCACATTGACTGTGACTCTGAAAGGAAGGTTGGATATTGGATGAAACAGGCTGGGTAATCAGGTGAAGAATCCCTTCCAGTCAGCGCAAAGGCATGGGTTGACAGTCAGAGCCACGTGACAAAAATATATTCCCTCTAATCATTGCAGAAATTAATTCATTCAATAAAGAATCTTTGCCTGCTCACTTGATTCCAGTCCTGAATCCAAAGAAACATCTATTGGCGGGGTATAAGGATTGTATTGAATTTATAACACAAAGACAGGCCATTTAGCCCAACTGGTATCTACTGGTGTTTATACTGTGTCCTAGCTTTCTCCTGCTTTAGGGTTTATCACATCCAACGTGCACACCTTTCTCTGTCATGTACTTACTCAGCCTCCCTTTAAACACATCAATACTATTTACCACAGTAAGTCACTTTGGTAGTATGTGCTGTGTTGTTCAATTACTGCCACAGGCTGTCACAGCAGAATAGAAATGTCCCAGGACTGGAATGTATGAGGGCAGGAGATTATGGTTCAGTGGTTACAGACATGGCAGGAATGTTGATGCTGCAGCCTGGTAGTCTGCAAATCCTTCCATTAGCTCAGGCTCCTCTCCGAGGGAAGAGTGCAACGATACAGAAATAACAATCGCCATCTGCAAAAGCTAAATGGAAACTGTCTGAGTAGCCTTCTGAATTTGAGCCTTTCCCCCCATTGTCTTGCAGAGATGGGATGAAGTACACAGATTTGCCGAGCATAGCTCTGCTTCTGGATGAAGCTAAAGCTAATTTATCCTTTTTACAGCAACTAATTCTGGTGTTCCGGTAGCAGCAGCAGAACAGTGAAATGACACCAACTGTCGAATGAAAATTGATACAGCATTCACTGCTTGAGGCTCTCTGATTAATTCTCAATATAATTCCTCGCTATTTATTTCACAACATAACAACGATCCATGCTGTGTCGGTTGCTCAGAGTTCTCCTCTCTTTCTTAGTATTAATGGGACAAGAAAGAGCTGGAATCCATGTCGGCCCTTTCATCTCTTTTGGACAACCCAAAGTGCTTTACAGTCACATTTGAAAGGCAGTCACTGTTGTAATGCCCTGAAGCCAATCTCTACATAGTAAGTTTATTTTCTGGTTACCATTGTCCAGGAGCAGACTAGACTTGCCATATTGATACAGTGGCTACAAGAGCAGGTCAGAGGCTAGGAATCCTGCAGGGAGTAACTCATCTCCTGACTCCCCAAAGCCTGTCCACCATCGACAAGGCACAAGTCAGGAGTGTGATGGAATTCTCCCCACTTGCCTGGATGGGTGCAGCCCCAACAACATTCAAGAAGCTTGACAACATCCAGCACAAAGCAGAGTATTCGACTGGCTCCACATCCACAGGCATCCAGTCCCCTCACCACTGTAGTAGCAGTGTGCATTTTCCACAAAATCCACAGAAATTCACCAAAGCATCTTCCAAACCAACGACTCCTTCTATCTAGAAGGACAAGGGCAGCAAATACATGGGAACACCACTACCTGCAAGTACCTTCCAAGCCACTCACCATCCTCACTTGGAAATATCGCTGCTCTTTCAATGTCGCTGGGTTAAAATCCTGGAATCCCCTAACGACATTGTGGGTCAACCCACAGCAGGTGGACTGCAGTGGTTCAAGAAGACACCACCTTCTCAAGGGCAACTAGGGATGGGCAATAAATGCTGACTTAGTCAACGATATTCACATCCAATGAGTGAATAAAACAGGCTCCTACAAACAGTGGGCTGGACTCGGCAGAGAAATCTCAAGCTCTGCATCAGAACACCTTAAGATTTTTATGCACATCTGAGGGAGTTTAGTCGACTGTTTGAATGATATTGCCTCTGACACTGCAGCGATCCCTTTGTACTGCCACAGTGTGTCAACCTGAAGATGTGCTTAACCTTTGGGCCCATGACCTACTGACTCAAGGCTAGGAGTGCTACCAACTGAGCATTGGCTGATGCCTTAGAATTTGTGCTGCACTTCTCTGCATCTCCAAACTTGCAGGAATCCCAGTCAAATAATATCAGGGATCTTCTCTCCAACACAACCCTCACAGTATACTATGCATTATTGCAAATGCTTAATTACTCTTGAGCTCTCTTGCCAGAAATAAGAGCCATTCCTTATTTTAGCTTTAGGTAAGTTGACACACTCAGTAAAATAGGGGAGAGGTGCAAAGATATCTTTATAATGAGATCACTGTTGTCAACCAATCCACGACAATAGTGGAGCTTGAAGAGTTAGTTTATGTGAAAGTTGTATATTCTCAGCTATAGTTAGGTGGGGGGACTTGATTGAAGGTTCAGAAATGTTAAATAGATCCAATAATGTGGCCAGATAGAAACAATCCACTTAGCAAATGGAGGTCAGAGCAACAGGATATCATCTTGAAATTAGAAAAAGATCATTTAACAGTGATGGTAATAAGCACTTCTTCACACTAACGTCAGTGGAAATCTGGGATTCTTCCCAAAAAATCTACAGAACCTGGGAGACAATTGGAGCTTTAATGACTGAGAGGGTCAGATATTTGTTAGGTAGAAGTGTCAAGGGGTATAGAACTAAAGGAATATAAATGGAGTTGAGACACACTAATCGAAAAACAGAATGCAGTGGATTTTCTTTAATCACTTGTGGGACATGGGCGTGGCTGGCTGGCCGGCATTTATTGCCCGTCCCTAGCTGCCCTTGAACTGAGTGCCTTGCCTGGTTATTCCAGACAGCAGTTGAGAACCAACTCTATTGCTGTGAGTCTGGAGTCACATGTAAGCCAGACCAGGGTAAGGATGGCTGATTACCTTCCCTGAACGGCATTAGTGAGCCAGATGCATTGTTACTGGCAATGGGTTTCATGGTCATCAATAGATTCTTAATTCCAGTTTTTTTTTTGTTGAATCCCACCATCTGCCACGGTCCCCAGGACATTAGCTGAGTCTCTGGATTAATAGTTGTGAGATAATACTACTCCGCCATCGCCTCTCCCTGGTCTGGAAATCAGAAATAAAAGCAGAAAATGCTTGCTATACTCAACAGCATCAATAGAGAAATAGAGTTCACGTTTCAGGTTTGTGCCCTTTCTTTAAAGATGGCACAAGTTTGAAATGTTTTGAGTGTGGGTGAGTCAAGTTCAAAAGGAAAGGCTGTGAGTTTGTGACAGTCAGGAAAGGTTGAATGACAGAAGAGTTGGTCCTCCAAGGTTAAAGAGAATGGCAATGAGGCAAGAGAAGACACAATGTTCTGAGGAAGGGTCACTGGACCCAAAACGTTAACTCTGTTTTCTCCTTCACAGATGCTAACAGACCTGCTGAACTTTTCAAGCAACTTTGTTTTTGTTGTAAGAGAAGACACAAAGCTGGTACAGGAACAAGTAGCAAAAAATTAAAATGAGCAACGACAGGAAAACAAAACAGGAGCTAAGGATTATGGTCTGAAACCGTTGAACTCAATGCTGACTCCCCAAGGGTTATCAAATGCCTCATCAAAAGATGAACTCCAGCTCCTCAAGGTTATGTTGAACTTCACAACAACAGTGCAACAGGTCAAGGACAGGGATGTCAGAGTGACCTCAAGGTGGAGAATTCAAGTGACAAGCCCACTTGAAGCTCGAGTTTGTCTTGTCAACTGAACAGAAACGTCTTACAAAGCATTTGATCTCCTTATTGTAGTGGAGACCACACTGAGACAAGTGAATACCATACAGATCAGTCATGATCTAACTGAATGACAGAATTGATTGGCCTTCTCCTGTTACTGTGCTCTTATGCATCTGCTATTCAGTCTGTTACTAACAGCTCTGCAATAAAGAAACAATCTTCTGAGTAACATTGAACACAGATACATTACTCACAGTTCCTCTTCTGAGAAACAATAAGCATTTATAGAGCATCTTTTTATGACCTTGGTACATCTCAGACCTTCACAATGAAATGTAGATACTGTTGCAATATAGGAACAGATGAGCCTTAGAACATCCTGGCTGTAATACTGAAGACTTGTACTCCAGAACTGGCCACATCCTCTAGTCAGCTGTTGCAGTACAGCTATGATACAGGCATCTCCAACAATGTGGAAAATTGTACAGGCATGTCTTAACCATAAAAAAACTAGACAAACCCAGTCCAACCAATTACTACCTCAACAGCTCATTGTCAATCATCAAAGGAATGGAGAGTGTTATCAAGTAGACACAAGTATGAAGCTGAGATAGTAGGAACTGCAGATGCTGGAGAATCCGAGACAACAAGGTG